TGGTGACCCCCAACCATAAAATTATTTTCGTTGCTACTCTATAACTGTAATTTTGCTACTGTTATGAATCGTAATGTAAATATCTTTTTGTTTGCTGACGGTCTTAGGCGACCCCTGTGAAAGGGTCGTTCGACCCCCAAAGGGGTCGCAACCCACAGGTTGAAAACCACTGCTTTAGGATGTCACTTTGTACCAGAAGAGACTAGCCTTCAAAATAGTTCAGAAAAGCAGAGGTATCTGCCTTAAATAGGCCCTGAAATCTATATCTGTTTTTTAAAAACTAAAATACATGTATTACTGTTATCATTCAGAATCCCATATGTAACAAATTGTACTAAAGTAGTGTGAAGAATACGAGTCAGTGCTGTTTCAGGTGGCTGCTTTCTGTTGATCACTTCCCTCTTTTTATCAACATAGAGAAGCTTCCTGGGCTAATTTGGGGGCCTATTTGGGGGCCGCTTTTCTCCTCTAATCCAATAGTCTTTTGATTCAGGCATTGTATTTGTTTTGAAAATAGTTTTACATTCCTCATTCCTTAGTTGTCCCTATATTTGGATAGTTTTTTCTCCCTTTTTGTTCTCAAGCTATATTGCATGGGTGCCTCAGGTTTGTATTGCTTTTGAAAGAGGGGCCTTTTCATCTCCCTCCTTTGCCTTCCCCCCCTCCTGTTGGGTAGTACGTTAAAGTTGAGAGGTAATCCCTCCAGCTATAGTTCACTGTCAATTCTCTATTATCTTTGGTTCAGCATCTCGTGGAAGAGCAAGGAATGGAGTGCTAAGATTGTAGAGGATAAGAATTAAAATCCAGTGCAGTGATTGAGCAACTGTAGTTTGTCTATATCTCTGTGGAGAACTTCATTTGTTTTAATGGCTGTAGCCACCAACTGATTATAAAGGCTGTAGTCAGGTGATTCCAAACATTAGGAGAAAACTTCAGGCCTGGAGGTTGGGAGAGCTACATCTCTGGAGGTGGCGTAGAATCTGAATGCCAAGTTCTTCAGAACGAACTTGCCCTTCTGCCGCCTTCCCATTGCTCTCCAAAGCCATGGTGAATTAGGGAATGAATGTTAGGACCGTGGAAGAGCCTTTCTTACCGTGTCCAACTAGTGGAGGTAAGTGGAGGAGGGGGACACTATGGGAGAAATGACTTCGACATTTGGATTTTCTTTTCTTGTGAGCTTGGGAAAACTCACCACTAATCCCAACTGTAGGTGAATTTCCGTTACAGCTTACTGCCAATTTATGGTTATGAGTGAGTAAAAGGCAAGGGGACACATAAACTTGAGAATTCTTTAGCAAAAATGGCCCTTACAGTACGTTCTCGCTTTTCTTTTTTTTTTTAAATTTTTTTTTTAACTTTATTGGGGAACAGTGTGCTTTTCTTCCCAGGACCCATCAGCTCCAAGTCAAGTTGTTGTCCTTCAATCTTAGTTGTGGAGGGTGCAGCTCAGCTCCAAGTCCAGTTGCCATTCTCAGTCTAGTTGCGGGCAGCACAGCCCACCATCCCATGTAGGAGTTGAACTGGCAACCTTGTTAAGAGCACGCGCTTTATCCCCTGACCCATCCAGCTGCCCCTTTCTCGCTTTTGCATCTGGCACTGTACTTGGACTGTCCTGCACCTGCTTTGGCACACGTTCACTTTCAGGGGAGAAAGGAATATCTCATGCTCATTGTATGGGAAGGTGACTCTTTTGCAGTCGGTTTGGTGAACGAGGGCATGATTAAATACTTAGCAGTGCTGAAGAAAGGTATGTGCATACAAACCAACCACAAAGACGGTTCAACAGATATATTGAGGTAGGAACTGTAGACCACCTGTCCCCAAGAGGTGTACTGATTTTCCAGGGTGGTGCAGAGAAGACTGTGTATTGGTGTAGGAAAGAAGTGTTAGCAGATTTCCCCAGAGTATGAAGCCACTTTTGCCTTAACACAGCAGTGGAGGTCTCAGCGGAGATCTGGTACATTCTGATACTGGTTGGCAAGATGTATCTTGTTGTCCTCTGGAAAAGCAGGTCAGTTCCGGGCTTAAGAACCCACCCTCCTGCCATAAACAATACTTTGTTCTTTCCTTGAGGGACCCCCTAAGAGGTCTTAGAGTTGGAATATGTGGTGGACAATGACATACTCTCTTTCATGGCCTTGGTAAGGTCTCAGCTAAGGCAAAAATGGATGGCCTACGTGTTTCAGAGAATTCTCAATAGCAGCGGACAGTTGATAAGGGTAGACCAAAGGCTCAGCAGCAGGGATCTATGTGCACTGAAGGGAAACAGCAGTACATAGGAGAAGCTGGAACCAACTGTAATGAAAATGAAAAGTGCTGGCCCTTTCAGGGAGGAGTGACGGCTTTGCGAGGTCCCTGCAAGAGGCAGATTCAGTGTTTGAAGAGGCGCTGCATCTGGAACAGAAAGGAGACTGTGCTGCAGCCTTGGCCCTCTGTAACGAAGCTGTCTGTAAGTAACACCAACCACTGTGGCTGTGGCACACTCGATGAATGTCACAATAGGTGTTATGAGTGTCGTCACTGAGATGGGATAAAAGCAACTTTTATGTTTCCTCAGTCTCACTCTCCCAAACTGAGACCCTTTAGCTACCTTTGCCCTTCGGATTTCTGAGTGTGCCAGGCGCTGTCACTGTAGCCTGTGGATATTTACTGGCATAACCTCAGCAGGAGTCCAGAGATGAATGACCCAGCCATGCCTACTTTCTTATCCCAAGATAAGTTAGACTTCAGATGTGAAGTTTGTCTGCTCTTTCTCTAGTCCCTGACAAGTCAGGTGGAGCTTGTGGCAGAAAGAAATAAACAAATTGGCTATGACTTCCCAGGCTGTGACTTCGTGCTGCGTATTTGATTTTTTATGTTTCTTCCCAGCTTTCCTGGTGTGCCACACCATTAGGTTACAGAAAGGGACTAAGGCTTAGAATTCCTATCTGGTTCTCAAAGGTGACCTGCAAGAAGCTGTGTTCTATAAAGACATGCAGGTTTGGATCTTATTTCTGCTGTTGGCCATCGGGAAGGGGGAGTTGGGAGCAGGATGTGGAGACCAGTGTTGGACAGGTCAGTTGCATAGGACAACAAGAATGGTAACCTCTAAGATAGAAGCACCAGCTTATCTTCCTGACTCATTTTAGTTGAGCTTTTTGTTTGTTTGTTTGTTAACTTTGAATTAACCTGTTTGGCCTCCATGGCTTCCATGAATGTTCCTTATAAAGCCAGAGCTGGCTCTGTGCCCTGGACAGCCTATGCATGGTCCATGCCTTACATTCCTGCTACATATTTTGAGTTTTACTGCATATCTTTGCTCATTTTTGGTTCAGTTTTATTCTATTTTATTTTTGTTTGTATTTTGTGTTCTGTTTCTGCTATATTTTCTTTTGCATTTTAGCTAAACTCAGACTTGCCCTGCATGGTGCCAGCTCTAGCACGCACAGCAGAGCCCTAGTCGATAAGAAGTTGCAAATCAGTATTCGAAAAGCCCGGAGCCTGCAGGATCGCATGCAGCAGCAGCAACCATCGCAGCAGCCGTCGCAGCCCTCAGCCTGCCTCCCCTCACAGGGCGGGGCTCTCCCTCAGCCAACAAGGTAGCTCCTGGGAACAACGGTAGTTTATGTTGGCCAGGGGAGGAAGTGGCCGTGGGTGCTCCACAGCCAGAGCTCTCGTTGTCTCTGCGACTGCAGGGGAGACAAGAGTCCCCTGAAAAAATTTCTTCTCTCAGGTCAGACATACAGTGAAAGCTCATCCCACTGCTGGTCCTTTCCCTAATCATTCCTAGAAAAGATGCAGAAAGTATAACATAATAAATAGACCACTCATCCATATTTCCCGTGGGGGAGTTTGTCCCTGGACTTGTGTAATCATGCGATTATTAAGTCTGTATATATTAAGTTCTTCGACATGACAGTCTGTATATGTTAAGTTCTTCAACATGACATTTCATGTCGTAGGTGAAGCCATGTGATTGATTTGGGGATTTCCGTGCTGCTTGTCCCTCATGGAAGCCATGAAAACAGTCTTCCTTGCTCTGATGAAACCATAGAGAAGAGACATGAAGATTCCCTTTGTTTTGCTTCCCTATGGTCAGGACTAGGGAAAAAGTCCCCCATGACCCTTGGTGTAGTTCTCATATTTTAGCCCATGAATTTGGCTGTTACTTAGAATAGATAGGTTTAAGTGAAAGTAAATTTTGGCTGTTAATAAGCCTGAGTAGTTTTCAGAATATAAATATTATAAGAACAGCTAACATTGTTTGAACATCTGCCATGCCCAGGCACTAACCTTAAATACTTTGTTTTATTTCATTTAACTCATATGATCACCTTAGGGTAGGGACTGTTATTTTGTGATAATATATAAATAAGGAAGTCAGGCTGGGAGGATAAGATAAGAATGGTAACCTGTATTACTCAGCTGGTAAGTGGTAGAAACGTGGAATTCAAATCCAGGTATGTTTGACTCCATTAGGTTTCCCATATATGGTGTAAGTGCAGGTAGAAAGTTCGTGAACTTAATTGTCCAACCTTCCTCTAAGTATAGTATTGTACTCTTCATAATGTGTGTTTTTTTTTTTTTTAGCTGAGCTATCCTGCCATCTGTTGGCAGCTCAGTGGCAGCTCAGCTTGGGCTGGGAATCGAACCACTGTTGCTCAGAGCTTGCACTCTTGAGCGAGCTCTTAACCAACTGAGCCACTCGGCCAGCCCCTCTTCATAATGTTTTAAGGGTAACTGAGTCACTGTACCCACAAAAGTTTATAGTATTGGGTTGTCAGAAAGTCATGATGCATTTTTGCATTGAAAAACATAGAAAGATACATCATGACTTTCCCGATGACCCAATATATTATCATGCAAATTTAGTGCTCACAGCTTGGATCTTCCTTTTTCTTTTCTCCCATTGTATACTCCACTGATTGAAAGCTGATCTGAGAATCTGATCCGATGTGTTTTGAATATAAGCAATTTAGGCAGCTAAACTCCTTCCATAAAACTTGCGCCACTTGATGTATGTGAGTGATCGAGGTTTTATTTAAGTACTTCTAACACATTTTTTTAGGTCATAAATATAAAACAGTTAGTGAGAAACCAACTAAATGCAGGTAATCCCCACTCCCATTCCCAAATCTCGAGACAGTCACATTGCATTACTTTGGGGAAACATCTCAGTGAGTAATACAACCAAATACAGATTATGAAAACACACTTGAAATGGTTGATTTCTGTGTAATCCCATGAGCCCAAATCACTGTCCTCTATAAATGTGGCTTTTTGGTTCTTTTGGCTGCTCTACCTCTTAGGACTCATACCCCAGGTATGAGTGATTTCCAGCCTTTGCTCACTTTCCATGTCATCTGCATGTGGGACTAGCAATTTTTGTTTTTTAATTTGCAAGTATAATATGATTGGAATAGGGCTTTACAGGTAGTGAAGATTATTGGCAAGGGCTTTACTTAATATTACTGTGTGCAACTTTGGTGCGGGAATGTAATAAGACAGATTAACAGTGCCTATTAATTGAGTGTGAGCTGTGCCTTCTCTTGTGAACCTCTGAACTGTTGACTCTACTTGTGCTTGTCTTTCCATTTATTTTCACCATTCTCTCTGTGGATAGCTAGACATGGGAACCAAATAAACAGTTCTTTTTGTAAGTGGTCTCGTTATTCAAGGCAGTTTATGACTGGCTCTCTCCATTTATTTCAGTGAACAGCCTATCCCGCTCCAAGTATTGCTAAGCCAGGAGGCCCAACTGGAACCCTACACGAATATAGAGTTTGGGGCCAGTTCTTTCGTCTACTCACCTGCTTCCTGCCAGGAGTCACACTCATCAGTATTACCAGAGTCATCTGCCCTGTCTGCCTCACAGTACAATCCCCCAAGTAGGTCTGCCTCGAACCTTCTGATTTCAGTAGAGGTGGACAGCATTGACCCCTCTGTGTTCCCCAGGCAGGGCTTACCTAAAACACCAGAGAGGACTGAGAAGAATTCTCATCACGGTTGGGAACCACTGGAGGTACCAGAGGGCAAGCTGCAAGGCTACAGGGGTGACAGCAGCAGCTGCGCCAGGTTCCCCCCTCAAGAAGGAAGAGGCATTGATCAAGAACAGCTAATCCAAGAAAAAAGGGATCCTGCTGACTCATCCCAGGTGAGGCCTTGTTCGCACTCACCTGGAACAGCCACCTGTGAGAGAGAAGGTGCACACAGCCTGGGTTGTCGTCCTGCAAGTCCATCCGCTCAGCCCGGCCCTCCCCCATGTAGAGCCTACCCCCCCGCGATGCCTGCTGTTTCCTCATCTACGCTTCACTCTCCTGATGCTGTGCAGACCACTAACCAAAGCCTCCAAGCCAAAAGCCTCACAACTTTATTGACTTCAAGAGTGGACAGAGGCAACAAGGAGCCCTGTAGGCCAGAGTTTCCGGGCACAAAAGGGCTTGTTCGCTCTCTAGCAGAGCAGTTCCAGAGGATGCAAGGCTCTGCCCCAAGGGATGGTGCAGGTTCCCAGGATAGAAGTTTGCCAAATAGTATAAGGAAGAATTCTTCCTCTTCTGACTCTAAGCCTCCCTTCCCCCAGGGTCAAGGCAAAGGGCATTGGCCTTGGGCAAAACAGCAACCCTCTGTGGATGGCAGGAACAGACTTCCTTCCCGGGAAGAGCCTGCTGATCATCCTTCTCTTGCCATGAATTCTGGGCTGCCTAATGGTGAAGCTTCCTTGGGTGGACAGCCCAGGTTGGCAGAGGCAGGTATGTACCAAGGGAAGCCATCTCAAGTGAGAGATGCTAGGCCTCAGGAGCCAGGCAGCAGTAGTGACTTGGGGACTTCCTTGCCTTTGGATTCCTGGGTGAATGTCACAAGGCTCTGTGATTCTCAGCTTAAACATGAGGTCCGTGGGCCAGGAATGAAGTCCTTCCCCAACAATCCCCATGCCTGTGTAGCCTATCCGGAAAGAAACCACATCTTTCTTCATCCACACTGGAATCAAGACACAGAGCAGGAGACCTCAGAATTGGAGTCTCTCTACCAGGCCAGTCTTCAGGCTTCTGAATGGGGTCAGCAGGATGTGGCCTGGCACCCACTTAACCAAACAGGTAAGAATGCAACCAAGGGTAGGGAAATTGGGGGACATATAAAAGCTGAAAGCATGTGGACAGGAGTAGAGGTGGGTGGTGTTCTGTCCAAACAATATCTCTAGCTTAGGAGGAGGTGGTAAAACTTCTCACTGTTCATAAAGACTTCAGGACAAGGGCTAGACATTTTTCTGGCTAGAGTGGAGAATGGGGATAGAATCATCACTCATGGGCTAGTTCCCTCCTTCTAAAGACACTGTAATAAATATCGGGGGTGGGAGGGCAGTAGATGGGGGAGGGGGGTTGTTTCTGTGTGAAGGGTGAAAAGGATAACTTGCATTGTTCTGTACACCTGAAACTAACAATAAAGAAATAAAAAATAAAAATAAGAAATTTCCTATGGGGGGGTGGGGAAATAAAGACAGAGTATATGCCCAGGGCTTCAGTATACAGTGCTGAGCAGTGGTTCATAGGTCTTTGAGAGTGACTCAGCATGACATGGAGGTTGAGAAGAAAAGTCATCCTTCTATGGTTCAGGAGCTGAACTAATCCCAAGATCCAGCGCTTCCAGATCCAACTTGCACCAAGGATGCCCACCTTGGACGAAGTCTCCAAAGGGTATTTCCAGATCATACTAAACCAGCAATATCAGGACCTTCCCTGATCCCTGCAGGAACCGCCAGGCCTAGAATTTTCATGGTGGTGTGACTCTCCGTGAGATGGTATTGTGCGAAGAGTGAAGTCTAACCTTAAATGCACATCACAGACATAGTTCTGGAAATTTAAGAAATGAAGAATATTTATAACTTAGATTGATGCACTTAAGGACTCCAAAGCCTGAACTAATGCTCTGGCTCCATCATTAACTGTCAGTATGAATTTGGACAAGTCACCTAATATCCCAGAGCCAAGTTTTTACTTGTAAAAAGAGAGAATTGGTTCAATGATTATTTTTTAAGATAACTGTTAAAGTATGTATGATCCTATGAAATGAACTTGGAGAACTTTATGTTCAGCTCGGGTGTGACGGTTTCCATAATGGTACAGGTTCCTTGCATGCTGCCAACCCGTGTTTAATTATAGCCAAACAAGTGTTGATTGAGTACCTACTATTTTCCCAGAAGCTGTGAGGGGGATACCACATAAATATGAGATTTGATATTAAGATAGGATTTTTAGGATCTGCATCCTAGTGTAGACTTTGCAATAACATTTTTTAAGTGTGCCTTAGGTGCATGGGACAGGGTAGTATGGGCAGGTTCTGAAAACAGGAAGAGCTGGAGTCTGCCTCAACTGGCTTCCTATCTAATATAAGGAAGAAAGAACACACAGCTGTCAAGTGTTCTAAGAATTAATAATAAACACATATAAAAGAATACATTGCAATTAAAATTGAACTAATTGACTGTCAAACATTATATTACAAAAACAAAGCAAAACAAAAAAACCCTTATGTTACCCAAAGGAGCAGCATTTTTCATTTCATAGCTAGTTTTTTTTTTTTTTAGCTGAGCCATCCTGCCACCTGTTGGCAGCTCAGCGGCAGCTCAGCTCAGGCTGGGAAGCGAACTGGTGACCCTGTTGCTTAGAGCTCGCACTCTTGAGCGAGCTCTTAACCAACTGAGCCACTCGGCCAGCCCTTCATAGCTAGTTTTGAAATATATAAAATAACAAAAATCATTGATAATCCCACTCTTAATAATTTCATTCATCTACTCTGGCTTTGTTTTTTTATGCATATATACTATTGGGTTGTTGGAAAATCTTGATGTGTTTTTTCTATGTTTTTCATTGCAAAAATACATCATGACTTTTCCGGTAACCCAGTACATATAGTCTGTTTTGTTTTTACAAAAAGTAGGAGATTTTATATATATATATATATATATATCTATCTCCTACTGGCACCCACTTAGCCAAACAGGTAAGAATGCAACCAGGGGTAGGGGAATTGGGGGACATATATTAATAAAAGCTGAAAGCATGAGGACAGGATCATATATATATATATATATATATATATATATATATATATATATATATATATAAAATTTATATATAAAATTGAGTCCCATGAATTTTTTTCCATTATATCTATGAGCATTTTTCCCTTTGGTAAAACCTACTTTTAATGACTGATATACTGTATATGAGTGTACAACAAAATATTCAATGGTTGAATATTTAGGTTACTTCCAATTTTTTAATAATATAGCACTGTGACGAATATCATTATACTTTAAGTGTTTGACCACATTTCTAATAAGCTCCTTACAATAAACTTTTAGAGGGATAGTAACTAGTTGAAGGTTATAAACTTTAAAACTTCTCTCGATACATACTGGCAAATTAGCCATCAGGAAGATTATACTCCTAAAAAGAATATGAAATAGTACCTACCAACCATTAAGTTTTTACTTAATACTGAACAAAAACTAATTTAAAAAATCGATTTAATGAATCAATTCTCAAAATAGTTAAACCAAATTAGCCTTTATTTTGGTTAGAGTCTCTTTTAAATTGAGTCTTTAAGAACTGACATGACATAAAATAATAAAGTGATCAGGTGGAATAAATCGGGTAGTTGAGATGAAGGAAAATTCCATTAGGATCCACATATGACAGAGTGTATCTTTGGGGGAGGCCTTTATCTTACCATAAAGCATTTATTAAGCACAAATTACCCCCCCACACACACACACGTCAAAATATTTTTGACATGTGTAAGTTGACAGATAACATTGTATAATTTAAGGTGTACAATGTGATAGTTTGACACATGTTAACATTGTATAAGTTTAAGGTGTACAATGTGATGGTTTGATACATGTATATGTTGCTAAATGATTACCACAATAAGGTTACTTAACACAACCATCATTACACATAATTACAGTTTCTTTTGTGGTAAGAACATTTAAGATCTACTCTCTTAGCAATGTTCAGGTATATAATACAATGTTGTTAACTACAGTCATGATGCTATACATTAGATATCCAGAACTTATTCATCTTATAACTAAGTTTGTGCCCTTTGACAACATCTCCCCATTTTCCCCAACCCCCAGCCCCTGGCAACTACCATTCTATGTTTCTATGAGCTTGGCTTTTTTTAGATTCCACATATAAGTAAGATAATATAGTATTTGTCTTTCCCTGTATGATTTATTTTTTAAAAGTTTTGTTGATATATAATTTACATACTATACAGTTCCCTTGAAGTGTACAAAAGTTTTTTTTTTAGTATATTCAGACTTTTCCATCCATCACCACAATCCATTTTAAAGTGTTTTCATCACCTTAGGAAGGAAAGTCTGTACCCATTAGTAGTCACTCTCTGTTTCCCCCTACCCCTGTCTCCCAGTTCCAGGCAAACTCTAACCTATTTTCTGTCTATAGATTTGCCTATTTTGGACATTTCATTTATAAATGGAATCATATAGTATACAGTGTTTGAGACCAGAATAGTTTTGACATGGTTATACTTCCTAAAGAGGTATACAAACACTGCCATTGA